TAAAAGAATTCTTTGTTTCTACGATTTTCTGATTATATAGTAGAAAAAAAGAGCAAAAGTTTGGTTAGATTTTTGATGGAGATAACAATATATCAAATTTCGTTAATGTATAATAGAATTGAAATGGTAGATGGCGTTTTTGTTGTAAAATTAAGATTTTATTTTCACAAGTTTTAAAGAAAAGTATTTGGAGTTCAGGGGCACGAAAGAGGGCGGTGTATGCGGAGCATTTAACCCTTTAAAAACACATGACACCTAAAGCATGTCTCTAGCATAAAAATCAACCGTCAGTGAACTTTTATAGTGATGAAAATTATTTAATTAGTGATCATTTAGATTTGGTAATGTAAGTTCATGTTTAGAGAAAAAAAAATTGTAGTTTAGGAGCGTGAAAAGGGGTAGGGTAGGCGTATAATCTAAAGCAGAAAAATACTTCTCAAAACTCAATGATGTAATGCAACGTAAATATCATTGCATGGATATATATAATTTTTAAATAAAGGAATTTTGATGAGATTTCGAAATAACAGGTAGAAATTGTCGAAAAGTGCCTACCGCTAGCATGCCGATAGCATTGGGTCATACATTTTAGTTATTAAAGAAGACTTTTAGTTTTTTAGCAGAGCTTTCATGTGATGAAACTGTTTTGTCTATTCATAAAGATGAAGGAGACACAAAACTTGAAGTTAATCCATCGAAAAGAAAGACACAACTCATGCTTATAAAAAACTGTAACCCAGAAGTCAGTTTTAACACTGGACAGGATAGTGTTAAGTGACTTGAATGTCTTCATTATATGTTGGCTGCCACAGCTCAGAGTCTTGGCCATGAAGTGGAGAATATCAGCATAAGCCGTTCTTATTAAAGAAGACATCGGGACAACGAAAGCAGAGAGGCTGCGAATAATTTGAAGAAAGAATTTTCAAGCATCACCGGTACCAATGGGGTGATAATCTTCTCCTGGGAATGAAAAAGTCGGCTGAAATAGACGGTCATTGTCTCAGGTATGGCAATAACTCAGCTTCTAGGTGTTCCCAAGCTGCAATATTTTTTGTGAGCGTGCCACATTTATTGTTAGAGTTAGAGTCAGAGGTAATGTACATGTAATATAATGGTAATATAATAGTAATATACATTATATATATATAGAATATAAAGGAAATTTAAAGATAATATAAAGGTAATGTGCTTTGGTACTACTTCAAGTTATACTGTTCATAAAAGAAAAGCCTGCATGGTTATAGAAAAACAAATTTCCGAAAAATATTATCTACTTGGCCTCCTGCCAACACATTGTAGAAGTTGTGCTGTCAGACGTCTGCTGTGAGAATATTGGTCCTGATGCACCCATCTTTAAGCATGTCTAACATTTATGGAGGAACATCGATACATTTTATTTTTAGAAAGTGGTGACTCTAATGTAATAGCTGTCAGGTGAAGTTAAGAAAATGGCATCACATTTTGAAGAATGTTTCAATCGGAGTATTTTTTAAACTATGCAACTCAGGAAAGGTTAAACGGAATCTCCCACACAAGCAGTGAGATTAATGTCCCCTGGAGCTCTTCATCATACTTGAAAAGTATGGATCCAGAGATAAAAGACAGCAGCTTCCACCTACTAAGGTATACGATTTACGTCTTCTTGGCTCTTTTTCCAGGTCGCCATTTGGTCGCGGCCAGGGTGCCGGATCATGAGCCTCTGCCAAACGCTTCAGTTGCGCACAAAACTTCTAATTTCTCCCACCGTGTAGTGGAGCGATCCTTTGCGAGAGCGCTAAATAAAGTAGTCGGCTTGTACCAGTAATTGTTAAAAAAAAAAAATCAGTTCCTCGGAGTATTTTTATGAAATGTGTCTAAAGTCTACTTAAAAGAGAGAAATCGTAGACCTAGGTGCCAATGCTCCATAATAGAAAGTAGTAATTCAATGCTTCGTCGGGGTATCACTTTTCATGGCCTGAACAGCAAAGGTGACCTAGGACTAAGTGTTGAGAACCTGCTGCTTAATTATTGTCTTTGCCTTTTCTTTTTTAAACTAATGCACCCAAAAGATGCGCTCTTTTATTTTCTCCCCGCGTTCACCTCTGGTATTTACTGGTGCTGACCGGAAAAGTGCGTCCTTGCTACAACGCTCACAACAAGTTTAATATTTTATCACTGAGCACCAAAACATGCCAACAACGGCACCTAAACTATTGACATCAACTCACGGCTGTTACAACCACTTACCATCATAACACTATTTTAAACCAAAACAAAACATATTTACTCGTGCTAAAAACATCTTACCCCAAAATGGAGGAAACCGACGATTTATCCGAAATGCTTACTCAAGTAAAACCCAAGAGACGAGGCTCCAAACTATGGCCAAGACCAAAGCTGAGTCCCAAAATCAGTATTATAAATAAGACCAGCTCTTCCGACCCAAGATTCAACCAGCTCGTCCGTGGAGGAAGAGCTCCCCAGTCACAGGGCGTGTCACAGGCGAGAATAATCTGCAGGAGCGACATACCGCGGGAGGCGCTGAACGAGGAGTTCGAAATTCTGCTGTCCCCAACCCAGAGTCAGATTGTCGCAAAGTTGACAAGCCCGTGGCAGGCATTGGTCAAACGGGGTATGTCAATATGTATCTCTCTCTCTCTCTCTTGTGTGTGTATGTCACATGTTTGTCAAATGGTTGACACATGTTTGGAACATGGTTGGCACATGGATGGCACATGGATGACACATGGATGGCACATGGGGTTTTATGACAAACTATGTGCAGGGCTTTCATGACAGACTATGTGCAAGGGTTTCATAACAGACTAGGTACAGGGGTTTTATAGCAGACTAGGTGCAAGGGTTTCATAACAGACTAGGTACAGGGGTTTTATAGCAGACTAGGTGCAAGGGTTTCATAACAGACTAGGTACAGGGGTTTTATAGCAGACTAGGTGCAAGGGTTTCATAACAGACTAGGTACAGGGGTTTTATAGCAGACTAGGTGAAAGGGTTTTTTGACAAACTAGGTTCAGGAGCATTTTGAACCTAAACAAATGTGATCAATTTTAAAAAAAAAGTGTCTTGGACGGTAAGTGTGGTAAGTAAGTCACATCCGTGAGACGTTCGTTGGTAATATGTCAGTCATTACAAAAAAAAGTGTCTTGGAGGGTAAGTGTGGTAAGTAAGTCACATCCGTGAGACGTTCGTTGGTAATATGTCAGTCATTACAAAAAAAGTGTCTTGGAGGGTAAGTGTGGTAAGTAAGTCACATCCATGAGACGTTCGTTGGTAATATGTCAGTCATTACAAAAAAAAGTGTCTTGGAGGGTAAGTGTGGTAAGTAAGTCACATCCGTGAGACGTTCGTTGGTAATATGTCAGTCATTACAAAAAAAAGTGTCTTGGAGGGTAAGTGTGGTAAGTAAGTCACATCCGTGAGACGTTCGTTGGTAATATGTCAGTCATTACAAAAAGAGACCGACTTATAGAAAGTTCAATTTTTAAATACTTTGGTAAGCATACACCTTTGCTGATACTCTGCCAAATAAACATCTTTACTGATAATAAGCTTAATAAATACATTAACTGATGGGCCTACTATCCTAAATACACTCCATTATTGAAAATCATATTTTTTTTTAAAATTGTGGGATTTTACAGTTACTGGGATCAGAAGATTGGCTTCTAGTTTGAAAATTAACTATTATGACGTAGTTCGAGAACTATTGTTGAGCTCTGTCACTGTCAATCGCCCATCTCTCTCTCTTTTACTTTCCAGGCACTCAACTGATCGAACGGGAAGGCCGTAAGCATAAGGCTATAAAACGAATGCCCATTAAGGCATAATTAATGAGCCAGGTCTATCATTTTGTTCACAGTTACAGCGTTATGAACTGACCGGTGACAAGTTGGCACCTCTTCTTTTTCTTCTTCTATACTTTGGAGGGCCCACGATCAGTGAATTGATCATTCTGGCTCCTATGGTTCAAAGGGGTTCGCGATGTAACGATGCATGGTTTTGACGGGGGGATAATTCACTGGATCGCAAGGGCTCCTCAACGAGGCTATTATGAACTTGGGGGGGGGGGCGGGGGGTTTTGGGGGAGGTGTGGGGGTGAGAGATCTTGGAAGGCAGGAGGCAGGAGACGCAAAGGGGTCAAGTGT